TATAAATGATATGTTTGTAGGAAAGCTTAAGAATTCTAATCTCTAATTGTATTTTTTTAGGATTTTTAAAGACATGTAGAAAAGGATGTTTGGATGAAAAAGAGCTTAAGATAAAAAATGCTTTATATTGGGAAAATGGCACATAATGCTATTTTTTTTTTGTGAATTCTTGCAAATCTTTGATAAACAACTTTATTTTCTTCATAATTCTCAATCTAAAAAATTTAAAGAAAAGTTTGTCATCACTTGCGTAACATGGTAAAAAATAAGTGTCTACACTTACATATTCATACTACAAAAAAAAAACTGACTTTTTTCTATGGAATTTTTGGTAAGAAATAGTCAAATTTTCATTGAAAATTTCATCTCTGAAAGTGTTGTCGAAAATAGTTTTCATCGGAAATCCATTGAGACTCTATCAAAAATTTTCCAACGAAAATTCTATTAAAAGAGAGCTAAACTTCAGTATATTATTTTGCACAAAATCTGCTTAGAAACATAAAAATTCTGACGGAATTTCTAATGAAATTTTGTTGGAAATTTTCAATGGATTTGCTGACGGAATTTTTTTTCCAATGGATTTTTGACAAAATTTTTGGATGAAATTTTCTGTTGGAAAACACTATCAATAGAAAATTTCATTGGTAATGTCCACTGAAAAATTTTGTGGAAAATCCATTGGTAATTTGCAATGGAAAATTCCATTGGAAATGCACTACCAATGGTAAATTTCGTCGGAATCCACTAAAAACGTAAATTTTATTGGTAAACAATCGTAATTGTAAATTAATAAAAATAATCTATGCAATTTACAATTGACATGCAATTAAAATCCTTAATTCAAAGTCGAGTTGGTAGACTTAAAAATCATCACAAACACACAATATCTAAAAATGTTAAACAAATATAAAAATAAAGTTAAATATGCTAGTGTATATTGTATTAAAAAAATATCCAAGTCTAAATTCAAAAAATAGGCTAATATCATGAAATGTCACCTTACTCATTAGAATCTAAACTTGAAGTACCCATATGACCTTTTTCAAGCACTTCTTTGTCATCATTGCTTTCATACTTGCCATAAATTCATTCATGGCTTTAAAATGTTGCGTCAATTACTTATACATTTGACTCATGTTGTTTGATAGATTTTCCATTTTTTTTTCACTAATTTAATGTTAGGACCGATGCTAGGGATAGCTATTGACTCAGATGTTATTGCATCATTAAGTATAGTTGTAGCAAGCCTTTGAGAACTAAACTCATACATGTGAGTGTATGTAGTCGTCATCCCTTTAATTGCTTTAGTCCAAGCATGTGAATCTAATTTTGGTTGTGAGGATGAATCTTCATCATACTTTGTGATAATGTAGTAGTATACATTTCCTACAAATAACAAAGTGAAAAAGATTAGTATATAATTATATTGTTAACTTTGAAGTAAAAATCAATCAATTTTTTATGTACACTAATAGTTTTAGACTTGTTATCTATTAAATCACCATGACCTCCTAAATATCTATGGGAGCTATTGGATACTTCCACAAAGCTAACATCTTGATTCGTCTCATTTGCTTGCATTTATTTACAATTATACTCAATCATAATGCATATATTTTACATAAAATGTAAAGTACATTAGAAGATGGAAGTAGTAGTATGTAAAGCATAACAAATAAATATTAAGTCATACCATCCTTTTTGCATGAACAAGGAATGGAACTAAACCGTCAGTGTGCTTTGTATTACTTCCTTATTTTTGTGTTAAATGATTCCTCTTTGCTGGTTCTAATTTGTTTTGTCATTCTTCTGTACCCCATATCGTATCGATAAGGGCATCCCAAACTTCATTTGTTATCTATTATCTTGACATGCCTTTGTAGTCCATGATGTCTTTTGTTTTGGCTTCTTTCTTTGCTTGTGTCCTCTTTTCTGAAAACATGTATTTTATTTGATCAAAACAAATTTTATTCCATACCTGTCAAACCAAATGATATTCATTTGGAGTCCAAGAAAGTTTTTCCTATAATAAAATAATAGAATAAATAAAAAATTTAATACATAATTAAAAACAAGAAGTTATAGTTTAATTGAATATTAAACATATGCCTTAAATTTCTTAAACATTAAATCCTTAATGTTATTAAGGATTTTCTTCCATGTCGGCCATAGATTGTGGAAGTGATTTTTTATGATTCTTGTTATTATTGTGGTGACTCTTGTCTCAAAGAAAGTACTAACAGAAGATAAAAGAAAATTATTGCTTTGTAAAATATAAGAGATATAATTATTTTATTATAATACAAGACAATATACCTATCTTCAAGTATACGCAATCTTTGGGTTGGATTTATAGGTGTATGTAATCCTACATTAGGCTCTTTGCCTTTCAACCTTAAGTATATGCCATATCTATTTGCACCTAAATCAATGAATGTGGATCCATGAGAATCATGGGTAGATGTCACATTGATTGCTGGCTTTGTAAATGCATAAAATAAAAAGGGTGGCTTTGAAGGCAAATCACTAGCCTGCTGCCGCTATAGATCAATGGATGGATTAGGATATGCATTAGCATTTGTAAGTGACAACATAGATTTAAAGGCATTTGTTGCTCTAGCTCTTGGTTTTGAATGCTTCCCTTTAACCATCATTTCTGCATGTAACAAAAACGTTCATATATAAATGTTAAAAGAAATTGAAACAAACTATCAAATTAATCCTTAAAAAATAAGAAACAAGAATAATCCCCATTCATTTTTACAATAAAAAATGTTAACAAAAACATGCCATTTTAGAATACATTTAAATATTTTAAAATATAAATTAAAACAATATAATAACATGTCAAGATTTTTCAATAATAATAATTAAGTTAAACAACTATGCAAGAAAAGATACAAAACCAATAACATACATTTCTAACATAATCAATCGCTTCCAGAATAAGCAAACTTATGTTCTTCATGGACTTCATTATCAGTGTTATCACTAAAAGTTTCTTCATCTTGATCCTCTTGTTCTTCTTCATCAATTTCTTTTTCATCTTCATCTCATTCCATGTCATCTTTTTCGTCCTTAATCAAGACATTAACCTCTTCGTAACCACCTCTTGTTAATACAGTAGGGATATCAAGTTTCTTGAAAGGAGTAACATTAATTGGAATAGACACATCATCTTTTTAGTATACTTTTTCATTTAAATCAGTTTCATTTGCTTTGTCTCTACTACGTGGAAAGTGGAATCCACTATTAGCTTTTATTTTAAATACTACCCACCAATCATGTTGATCTCTTTTCATTGACGAAGAACTACTATAGTAAAGTTGGTGAGCTTGAGCAGCTAAAACAAATGGTTCATTTGCAGTAAGTATCGAGTTATGTTTAATTTTAGCAAGACCATAAAAAGGGTTTGCCCTAACACTTTTTTTAGCATCAAATCAATGACACTTGAATAGCACAACTTTATTTTCAATACCAAAATATTCCAACTCGATTATATCTACCAAGATACTATAAAAGTCACGCTCATAATCACTGTAAAATCTCACTTTGATGCATACCTTATTATTCATTATTTTACTATTTTGCCCATAATCTGAGGTGGAATGTAACACCTCGTGACCTAAGATGGTGGTTAATATGGTTGTAAGAACAAAATTAAGACCTATAGAGGTCAATTTAAGAGTTTGGGAATGGTGGAGGAGGAATGGAATATTTTAGATGTGGCTAGGCCAAAAGTTGATATTCGTGGTTGCAACCACATGATTCTCCGATGTTAGCCAATATTGTCGAGACTGCCATGGTTGTGAGAATTCAGTGGAGGGGAGCCTCTTAGATGTTATTACGTGGAAGTAGGTTTACAAGTTGATTACTACAATTACCTACTTGAGAGTGATATCTCTTTGGGTTTTCAAACATGAATACTTTCGCATGGTGAGAATTATGAGTTTTTTCACGGCTCCTTTATTTATATGATGATTTGTATTTAATTTCTCAAGAATGAGATCATTTATGAGCTTGTGTATAAGCTTTGGTAATGCTTGATTTTACGAGAGCATGCATGTTTACGCTGGTTTGATTTGAATATAGATGTTAAATGAATTTCAAGGATAGAAATCTTTCACTTGCACTGGTTTTGATACATTGATTGAAATTATTACCTTGCATTAAAATTCTTGGTTTTACATGTAAGGCACAAATCTTCCTTTAAGTTAAATTGTTTATATATTATCTTATGTTTTTAATATTAAAATCTTTTGTCCCTAAGTTATTTCCCATTTACACCTTGCTTACAGAGCCAATGATCACTGAGCTTGTGAGACTCACTCCTTTATCTTTCCTTTTTTTTAGATAAGTGATTAGTTCAAGTGTATTGCCTCAGTATTTTTGGATTCGCTGTGATGTAGGTAATGGCATCTCTTAGACTTCCACTCCGAGTCGCTCCACTGCATAAGGGTCATGTTGTATAAAACAGCTAGACTTATAAAATTTTTTTAAGTTTATCGAAAATGTATTACTAAGAACCTTGAGGTTATGTAATGGATTCTAAGTGTGATGTTTGAATTTATCTTGAAGTTTACTAGAATTGGATGTTGTTATTTAGCTGCTACATCTTAATTACAGTTTTTATTCGGTTTAAGTGGAACGTTATAATAAAATCCAAGTCAATCCACATACGCATTAAAATGTTTGATTTGGTTAACAAAATCTTAATTAAGGCTTATTCAGGATTTAATGGGTTTTCTCGCAAGTCTCGAACGTCGATAACGATCGGAAAGAGAATCGTTACAGACTTGGTATCAGAGCCCTAGGTTTAGTTGAGTTCTAGAAATTCTTGTATCAAGTAGCAAAGTAGTGGGGTCAACGTAGAGTCTTGCTTATAGTTAGTGACTGCAGCACTAATTATAGGCAAGAGGTTGCGTATACTTCTTTATGCATCTTAGAACATTACCTTGTGTAATTATAAGAGATTACTAAATAATGAGAATTGATTACCGATGTCCAAGTTTGAGTTGCCACCTCGAACTCGAGCATCTTTGAGGGCTACTAGTGAGCTAGACGCGCTTAAAGGGATAGATGAGCGATTATGAGTTTCTGGCTCTCAAAGTCGAGGCCGTATTATAACAAGGGGGAGGAAGAGTTCTCAACGTTCAGTGATTGTAACTCGAGTGATTGAAAGAAACTGGGGCTGGTGGACTTACGATAAAGGGTGTTACTTTGTATGAGTTAGCCGTCAAGTTGCAAAATTTGACCCACCAACTTGCAGAATTTACTAGGCACTATGTTGGTGTGGGTGAAGAGTATCTGGGTTCAAGTTCACAGGATCTAGATTATGACCCAAATACAAACATGATAGATGAGGAAGATAAGGATGATTCGAATAATGATGAAAGAGATGAATTAGTTTCGTTGTCTACATTTATAAAGCTAAAACCTCCATCATTCACTGGTTCCACAGTGGGAGAGGACCCATGTAGATTTTTAGACATAATGGAAAGGATTTGTCGTGCTTTAGGAGCTTCAAGTACGAGGTCAGTAACATTAGCTAGTTTCTGTTTTGAGGATGTGGCATAGTTGTGGATAACGTCGTACATGTGGGGTAGACTTAGTAATGCCGGTCCACTTGGTTGAAAGGAATTTGATAAAGCTTTTATGGATAGATTTATGCTTCATAGTGTGTGAGCGGCTAAGGCTAAAGAGTTTGAGCCTTTGAAACAATTACCCTAGATGACGGTATCTAAGTATAATGTGCAGTTTACACAGTTGTCTAAAGACACCATATGTCTTGTAGCTTTAGAAGAAAGGAAAGTGAATTAGTTTGTGGCTAGACTGTTTCAGTATTTATTTAGAGTTGTTGCTCCATAAAGGTTTGATTCATATTCCAATGTAGTGGATTGTGTTCGATTAATAGAAGGTCATAGTATGGAGGCTAGAGCACTTTGTGAAAGTACCAAAAAGACTAAGATTGAAGAAAAATACTAGTCCAAGGAACATTAGTTGAGAAATGACTTTTGAAAGGTCAAGTCACTTGATCGAAGGGATACTGTTTAGAATAGAGGGCAAGTGCCAACTAGGTCTCAAGGGTTGAAGGGAAACTCCCAGTTTAGTAGTCCACCTGGTCATGGAAATTTTTCTAGAGCAAATAATCGTCTAGGATCTAGTAATGAAATCACTAGCCTTAATAGTTGACAGATGGGTCAAAGGAATCCTTATTGTGCACGATGTGGTACTATACATGTAGGGCCATGTGCCCTGTCATATGATGTATGTTTTAATTGTGGTCAAGTGGGACATATGCGAAGAGATTGCTCCTATGATAGGAGATCACAAAGAACTGGTCATGGGTTTGTTCACGCAGCATCTATAGTAGCATCCACAGTTTCACCTCCAACTAGGAGAGGTTGACCTGATAAAGGTAAAGGAATAGTTTTTACCTCTCAATCTCAACCTACTGAGTCAGTATCGTCAGGTACTTCGAAGGAGGACAAGCGATAGTGTTTGCTATGGGTTCGCAAGATGTGCCTGCTTCTAATGATGTGGTGACCGGTACTCTTTTAATTTGTGATTTTGAAACATTAGTATTATTTGATCTTGGAGCTACCTATTCTTTTGTTTCCTAGAATTTTATGCCAAAATTGAATAGACTTTGTGAAATAATGGTAGATCTATTGGTAATGACCACTCTTTTAGAAGAAATTTATACAACAGAATTTGTCTATAAGTTTTGTGTAGTTCAAATTAACCATCGGGAGACATTGGTGGATTTGGTGTTATTGATGACGTTGGGATTTGAAGCAATATTAGGAATGGATTAGTTGTACGATTGTTACGCAAATGTTGATTGCCAATACAAATATGTAGAATTTAAGTTTCTCGGAGAAGTCTTTTTTATTATCTATGGACATAGGAGCTGTGCAATAAGGGAATATTAACAGAAGTCACTAAGGTGGAAACGGGACAAAATTATTTAGTGTGCATAGCAGCCAAGGAAGATGCGTTAATGGAGGAAGAGGTTCCGAATATTAAAATGATGCCAATAGTTAACGAATTTAAAAATGTGTTTCTGGAGGAATTGTTAAGATTGCCCCCAAAAAAGGAAGTTAAATTTTGCATTAATTTGATTCTTGGCATGGAACTAATATTCGAAGTCCCTTATTAGATGGCACCAACAAAGATGCGAGTACTGTGAGAACAATTGCAAGAGTTAGAGGGAAAAGGATTTATTCATCCAAGTACTTTGCCATGGGGAACTGCAGTGTTATTTGTAAAGAAAAAGGATAAAAGTTTGAGATTATGTGTGGATTATCGAAATTTGAATAGTGTGACTATTAAGAATAAACACCCACTTCCCAAGATTGATGATTTATTCGATCAACTGCAAAGGATGCAATATTTTTCAAAAAATTGACTTGCGCTCTAAGTATCATCAGCTAAGAATTCGAGAAGAGGATATACTAAAGAACGCATTTCGTACAAGGTATGGGCATTTTGAATTTTTAGTGATGTCCTTTGGTTTAAGCAATGCTTCCGTCGCTTTTATGGATTTAATGAATAGAGTGTTTCGGGCCTATTTAGATAGATTCATGGTGGTGTTTATTGATGATATCTTGGTGTATTCTTGAAGCCCCAAACAACATGCACAACATTTACATATGGTGTTGCAGACACTTCGAGAACACGACTTATATGCAAGGTTCTCTAAGTGCGCTTTTTGGTTAGAGAGTGTTAGCTTTCTCGGACATGTAATATTGAAGGAAGGGATTAGTGTGGATCCGCAAAAGGTTACATCAATTCAAACTTGGTTAAGATTGAGTACGGTTATTGAGGTTCGAAGTTTTCTTAGATTGACCAGGTATTACCGTCGATTTATGCAGGATTTCTTGAAAATCATGGCACCGTTGACTAAGTTGATGAGAAAGGGAGTTAAGTTTGAATGGACTACTAAATGTGAAGATAGTTTCTTAAGACTAAAAGTTTGTTTGATTTCGGCATAGGTCTTAAGTTTATCAAAAGGTCCAAAAGGTTATGTTGTGTATTGTGACACATCAAGAGTTGGATTGGGATGTGTGTTGATGCAAATGGTAGAGTTATTGGGCATGCTCCAAGGTAACTCAAAAGGCACGAGCAAAACTATCTTACTTATGACTTGGAAATGGTAGCGATAGTATTTGCATTAAAGATTTGGCATCATTACTTATATGGGAAAATCTTTGAAATATATACTGATCATAAGAGTTTAAAGTATATATTTCAACAATGTGATCTCAATTTAAGGCAATGTCGGTGGATAGAATTGCTCAAAGACTATGATTGTACCATTCAATATCACCCTGGTAAGGTAATTATGGTGGCTGATGCTTTAAGTCAGAAGTCTATGGGAAGTTTGGTACATTTGTCTGTTGAACGAAGAAATATAATTCATGGATGGTGAAGCTTAGGTAATATAGGGATCAAGATCGATATTGGTGGGCCTAATGCCCTTATTGCACATTTTCGAGGATGACCAATGATCTTGGATTGAATTCATAGTGCTTAGGATCAAGATGAATTCGTGATGAGAATCTTAGGATCTGAAGAGTGAGATAAAAAATTTATGTATGGAGATGATGGGTTGCTAAAGTATAAATCCCGAACATATATACCAGATCGAGATAATTTGAGGGAAGAGATTTTAGAGGATGCTCACATTACTGCATACACCATACATCTAAGAGCTACCAAGATGTATCATAATTTGAAAATGGTTTATTGTTGGCAAGGAATGAAGAAACATATAGTTAAATATGTGGCCAAGTGCCTAACTTGCCAACGAGTAAAGGCTGAACATGGGAAACCCCCAGGTTTGCAACAAACCTTGCTGATTCTTGGATGGAAATAGTAACATGTGGCTATGGATTTCATGACTAGATTTGGTAATAGTGGATCAATTGACCAAATTTGCTCATTTTATCCAGTTAAAACTAGTTATGGGTCAGCTAAGTATGCCAAGGTTTACATTAACTGTATCGTGCAATTGCATGCAGTTCCCGTGACCATAGTATCTGATCGAGGTTAGTTTACTAATAAATTTTGGAGAAGTTTACATGAAGCTTTAGGTGCTCGTTTAGATTTTAGTATTGCATATCATCCATAAATGGATGGTTAGTCAGAGCATGTGATACAAACGCCTGAAGACATGCTAAGGTCAATAGTGTTGGATTTGGGAACCGCGTGGAATCAATAGTTATCTTTAACGAAATTTGCATATAATAATAACTATCAAGCTAGTATTAGAATGGCTCCTTTTGAAGCGTTATACAAATGAAAGTGCACATCACCCATTGGATGGTTTAAAGTGGGAGAAATGAAATTATTAGGTCCCAATTTGTTGCAACAAGCAATTAATGTGGTGAGTTTGGTGAGGGAACATCTAAAGTTGTCACATAGTAGACAGAAGTCTTATACAGATAATAGACATAATTATTAGGAGTTTCAGGTGGGAGATTTTATGTTTTTGAAGGTTTCTCCACTAAAACGAAGTAAAAGATTCTAAAAGAAAGGGAAGTTGGGCCCTAGATATATTGGACCCTTTGAAATCTTAGAATAAATTAGGTTAACAACATATTGACTAGCCTTACTGATGGAGTTAGCTCGTGTGAATCCCATTTTTCATGTGTCTATGTTGTGAAAGTATGTTAAGGACCCGACACATGTTATATGTTATGATTTGGTTCCTCTAGATGAAGGGTTAACTTTAGATGAAGGGTTAACTTTTGAAGAACAACTAGTAGCAAAACTGGATCGACAAGTGAAGCAATTGCACTCTAAAGAAGTTGCCTCAGTAAAGATCTTGTGGCAAAACTGATTAGTGGAAAAGGCAACCTGGGAACCCGAAGAGGAAATGAAGAAGGAATACCTACATCTTTTTCAAGGTTAAGGTCAAGTGGAAAAGAAGGAATACATCTTTTTCAAGGTAGGTTAAATACCTACTCTATTTAAATTCGAGGATGAATTTGTTTTAAGTGGGGGAGATTGTAACACCCTGTGACCTAAAACAATGGTTAATATGGTTGTAAGAACAAGATTAAAACCTATAGAGGTCAATTTAAGAGTTTGGGAATGGTAGAGGAAGAATAGAATATTTTGAAATAAAATATTTCATACATAATAAAATAATAATATTTTAATAATATTTTGTTAAAGTCATCGTAATGGAGTAAAAATGAGCGATGGAGCTAAACCGAGATAAATTCAAATGTTTTGGAACCTCGAAAGCCAAATGGAAAATTTTGAAAGTTAGTAATAGTTTATTACATAAAATATTATTAAAATAATAACGAGATATTCTTATTGTGAGTGGTCGATAAATTCACATAATCTATGCATTGAACTTAAGTGGGGGAGTTATACCATAATTTTGATGATTTGATGGATAAAATATTATTTTATTGATTCTAGAATGTTAGTTTAATGATTGAGATTTTAGTGATATAAGTATTATTAATAAATGTGAGTTTGGAAGAAATGGAGAATTAATTAGGATAATGATGATATGTGAAATAATGAAATGCGCATGTGGGTTCACTATTACATAC